TATATATATATATATATATATATATAGATGCAGTTTTCTGATTTTAAAAAGAGAAACAATGAGATTTGACACAATAATATGCATGTATTTTTTATTTCAATGAATTTAAAAAAGTTTAGCATGTCAGTTACAAATTTACTAATGTAGACATTTGTTTGCTGTTATATTTATCATAGTTGTGTTTATAGCTAATTCTGTGAGAATCTATACAAAAAAAAATCCAAATGAAGAAAATAATGTTATATATGTTGTTTTGGAGTCCATAAATACTTTAAATAATAAAACAAAAATAATCAGAAAAGTGCAAGAAAAAGAACAAGTTATTATAGATCAAACCATGTTTAGTATTACAAGTTACATAGTACTAAAAAATGTCTCGTGAGTAATTGTTCCTAGTAACCACATCAGAACTTAATAGGTCTAAGTGTCATTATATCAGTAAAGTTTTCTGTAAAGTGTGCACTTGTACATAATTAAAGGCATTGGGATCTAATTTAACAATTTTTATTTTGGTTTATTAAAGGGCACCAATAGGTAATCCAATAATGATAGTTTTCTTTTTTAGATGTAAATATTATGTATGTCTAATAAAATTTAGTGAGTTTGGAAGAAAAGTATCTTTTTTAGGAATTTTCTGTTTGATGGGTTTTCTTATAAAAATTTTTTTTTCTAGATTGCTAAGGATGCCAAAGAATGTGTACAAGAATGTGTGTCTGAATTTGTGAGTTTTATAACCAGTGAGTATCCTTTTTTCTGCAGGAAATCTAAACTGTGATCTTTTTTAAATGACATGTAGAGTTTTGAAATGATGTTTTTGAAACAAAGATATTTTAGATTAAACACAGCCAATATAAATAAAGTTTTTATTAAAATAATATAAATAATATTATAAATAATATAATAATTCAATATTAATAGGAGTTTGTACATTAGTTGAAATTTTCTTACCTGTTTTTCTAGTCTTTAACATTACAGACACATACACCCTCACCTGGACAGCTTGATTCAGTTGAAGTTTGTTTTGTGTTACATGCTCAATCTAAATACATTATCAATACTCAAAACATTTGACATTGGAGTTAGTGGAAATATACATTTTTTTTCTTTTTTTTTTTAGTTTTGAAATTCTAAAAAATATAAAAATGGTTGCTAGAATCATGGTTGTTTTTGTTGCATTTTTTTATTTTGGTGATTTTGAAAGTTAAAAGCACACAATTCAAAATGATATTTTCTTATGTATGTATGTTATATACAGATATGTATATCAAACAATGTATATAATACTTCTAATTCAATCATTTAAGAACATTTGGAAATTAGCTGTGAAAGTAACATTTGTTGTGGCATTTAAGCTTAAACATGCCTGAACTATAAGCAAATGATAAAAGCTGTTCTAAATTGTTCTACATAAAATATGCTTGAAATCTACGTATAACAAATAAATTTTGATATTTTGTGTTTAGGGGTTTAATATACTAGCATGACCACATTTCAAATATATTAGGAAATTTTGTGTGTGTTAAGAATAATTGAAATTCTATGCTTTTCTGCCAGTTCATCATTAACTAAAAGTCAAGCATGCTCTTGACATTCATTAGAACATATATAGCTTATCACTTATTGCTAAAACTAAATATGACAATATCATATACACAATTAATTCAAAATGGACATCTCAGAAAAGCATAACTGTAACATAAAACAATGAATGGAAAAAGTATATATACTTCTTGGGCTTCAGCTTCTCTTTGTAGAGAACCACAAAGAACTTAAAATTTTTATTAATACTATATAGAAAAGGAACTTGAGGGACTAGCTAAGTTTATCATTTTTCATCTGGTAATATGGATGTAACTAACAGAAATCTTGTTTCATATAGAGTAATTTTAACAAACTATATGATGTATTCAAGAAACATAGCTATTCATATGCACTTTTAGCTGATCAAACAGCTAAAGCTAAGTGATAACTATAAAAGCATAAAAAGGAGTAAACATTTTTAATAACTGTGATGTAATGTTCTGCCTATATTTTGGGTAATAAACATTTCTTTCCATTTTTGTTTTTTATTAAACTAAAGAAAGAAATGTTCACCATCAAAAACCTAATGTTTCATTCAACATTTTTCATTCTTATACATAGATCTAAAAAATGCAGAATACAGTACTTTATTTAAAGATGTAATTCAGAAGGAATTCTAGAAAATATTATGATTAATTATATAAATCATATTTAGCATTTCATGCACCATGCGAGTCCTTAATTTCTAAGTTATTGTATTTGAAGTAGAACAAGTTGTTGACTTATGGATGACAGAAAATGAGTTCTTCAAGGTTCTTCAACTAAATGTAGCTTTATTATGGAATGTTAGTTACTGTAAGTATGTTTTCTTGTAGTTTCATGTTATAGTTTTCTTTTTTTGCTCATTTACTAGCCAACAGGATCAAAAATATGAATTGTTTGTGGCCATTCTGTAGCTATATGATAACTGTTGTTTAATAGGTACCATTCCTTAGAGAATTCTATTGTTTATTTTCGTTTTTGTATTTTAATCTAGACTTAATAAGTTGTTCTAAGACTGGCAGTTTGTGGAATTTGTTTCATACCTGATGCCTAGGCCTAGTGCAAAGTTATAGCATTTGTACTTGATTTACATTTGAAAGTTTATAGGTCATACCACATTCTTTTCATATATTGTGGAAGTTTCAAAAACCAAAATGATGGAAAAACTGTTAACTGTGATGGTTAAAAGAGAAAGGAAGCTTATTCAAAGAAGGTTTAACAAATAGGAGGTACTTCAATATTTGTAAAGATTTTGTTTTGAACAATAAATTGTTATTCAAAATATTTAAATAGAACATGCTTGGTAACATTAAAATTATTCTAATAAAATAGCTCCATATCTGTTTTTTCTACATCTGATGAGAAACTAAACATTGTATATGGCTCCAGTTGTTACCTGGACTAACACCTAAATGTAATTTATAGTAAAAAATATTGATTTCAACTATTGAATATTTTAGACATATTATTATAACTTAAAGCCAGTTGTAGTCTTGTTTATATGAAACTGAAATTAGAATTGTAATCTAGAAGCTACTGACAAAAATTGTTTATCTGACAGTAGCAATTTCTAGATACATTTGATATTACTTGAAATACCTAAAAATATATTAGCTATTTTCTCATAATTAGTAAGTTCAAACACAGGAGGGATGAAGATAGTTTATTAACAATAGATGTGCCTTACATACCATCCATATTATACTTCTGATGGAAAAAGTTTGGTGATAATGTTTTAATTGTTTATATATATCGTGCTGTATATCTTCATTAGTTAACATGTATAACCTGTATTTCAAGATGGTGTGAAAACATGTCCTCAGTATGTTTTATGACAGAATGAAGAACTCAGATAACAAACTATTTTATCAGGTATATTAGAAACTCTTGAATTGTTTGTTGTTAATATTTTCCTTGACCCCTGACCTGCAGAGCAAGTGACAGGTGTCATCAAGAAAAGAGGAAGACTATAAATGGAGAAGATATTCTATTTGCTATGTCCACTTTAGGGTTTGACAACTATGTTGAACCACTGAAATTGTACTTACAAAAATATAGAGAGGTTTGTCTAATAACTTTTTTCTAATTACGTTACATTTTTAATGTGATAGGAAATATAATAACTTAAACTTAAATTTTCTGACATTTTTATTTATTTACTTTCAAATTTAAGAGATTAAAACATTAAAATCTAGTGTATTTATATTGAAGATTTGAGATTTAAGCTAGTAATATTTTAACCTACATGAACTCTTTAGTCAGCTGCCAGTAAAACATAGTCCAAATGCTTCTGAAATCCATTGTGCTATGATTGTTCATTGTTGGTTCTGGTCAATTGCATAAAAGATAGTCTCATTGATTTTACTACTGCTTATTTTTTTATAGTCAATGAAAGGAGACAAAAATGTGTCTGTTGGACAAGCTACAGATTCCTCTCTAGATGAACTTGGAGAAGAAAATTTTTGTAAGTTTTGTTTATGAGATGCATTAGAAACTGTTTCACTTATAATGTTGTTTTAAGAAACAGTCACATTGGTATTGTTAAAAAATATTGTGAGCTATAACTTATGGAATCCTATATCAGGAGTGTGGAATTCTTTAAAAGACTCATTGTCCAAGGGACAGAATGCTGGAAAAAGTCTGCTTATCTTCTCCCCATCCCACACATTGCATACAAAAAAGTATAATAGAACTTTTATGATTTTGCTTTTAGTGGACTGTGAACACAATCAATACAATGCCATTGGCAGCTCATTGTTGTTGGGAATAGTGTATATGACATTTTGCAAACAAGTTCTTCACATGTATGTATTTGTTCATGTATTTTATGTTTTCAGCATTTAGTCAGTAGTGTTTTCCAGTGCTTGTTCATGTATTTTACGTTTTCAGCATTTAGTCAGTAGTGTTTTCCAGTGCTTGTTCATGTATTTTATGTTTTCAGCATTTAGTCATTAGCATTTTACAGTGCTTGTTCATGCAGAATACTGTGTGTGTAAACTGATAAAGAAATCATGGTTTACATTAATGCTGCCACAAACTAAAGTAGTGTTTATTATATAAAACAGTTTAAACGTTTTTTATTTTTATTATATTATATATTCTTTCTAGAGGTGGCTGTCAAACTTTAATGAACTCTGTAGACAACAGCAATGTAGTAATATTGTTCCATTAATTTAATTACATTTCTTACTGTGTGGTCACTAAGGGTTTGTGGGTGAAATGGATGTCAATATTTTTATATATAGTTTTGATTTGAAGTGTATAGGTATGCAGCTTGAAGTATTCATGTGGTTTGTGCTAGACTTCTGCAGTTCAGAATTTGCAAGAACTTGTGTGTCTCCATATAAATTTGTTTGTTTTTATAGCAATAAAACTAACATTGTGAAAAACCCTGATTGTCCAATGAGAAAAGTGTAACTGTAAAAACTTGTCTCAGGCATGGAAAGATATGAGTTGCAACCCCCCTGCATATATATATATATATATTTGTGTGTGTGTGTGCTAGATGCAATGTGGAAATTAAATTGTCAAAATTATAGTAAAGTTAATGAGATTTTGAGTTTTGCAATTTTTTGCATACTATAGGACCCAAATGTGATACAGATTGAAGACTATGGTTTGGCCATTAGCAATGATCTAAAAAATTAAAATATAGATTGACTTCTACTAAATATTCTAAAAGAATTAAAGACTGTGGTTACATTTGGAAGAAGTAAGTGAGAAACTATGGTTTAATCACTAGCTTAAGATTTTAAGAACTAAACAGAGACTGTGATCTAGCTACTAGACAAAGTCTGAATGAAGAACTCAAATAATAATATCCAAGTTCTGGGTGTCTGGCAGATCATTTGATTAGAAAATATAGTCTGCGGTATAGGTTAAATATTTTATTCTTTTTTGCTAACACTTGATAAATGAGTTGTAATGCTGTTGTTAATGAGAATAGAATTACACCAAAAACTATTAAGATATAAAGTAATAATAATACATTGAACCGTGATTAATTTGTCATTTTTAGCTGCACAAACCCTGACAGCCAGTATACTTGGAACTGAGCAAAATGGTCAACATAGTGTTGTATATGCCACAACTTTTCCAGCTCAGGTATATTATGAGTAGTATTTACTGAATAAGTTTTTTTTTTTTATGAGTGTGTGTTTTTTATAACAGCATTGGCTAAAACGTTTAATATATTTGTTTTTATTATTTTAATTTGTTTATAATTATATTTTTATTACATAAATTATTTTTACATTGTTAGCTTTGTGTATGGATTTAAGACTAACCTAAATATTGCAAGATATTTATGGGTTTACTGCCAAAAATATTGCCAACCCAACTGGTGAAGAAGTGCATACTTTATAAGTAAGAACATAAGAAAAGTATATTTAATTAGCTACACTCAGTACAGGGTGGATTTTTATTTTAAGTAGGTAGCTTGTTTCAATTGAAACTTAATATTAATTGTTTATTGGTAAACAAAGCACAAAGAAAGGGATGCACATGTATTCATTGAGGAATATCTTTTGCATTCAGTGGTTAATATTATCTAGTGTCTGGCAGTTGTTTTTACAATCCATTCAATCAATATTCTTTATAGTATCAGAACATCTGAATTCCAATATGATACTTGACCTCTGCTTAAATAATAGCATTTCTCAATTTGTGCTGCCCTCTATGTGCACAATGTTTGCTAGCTACTAGCCTTGAGGCTCCCACCTAACATCACATGTTTATACGTGGTATAGCTGCATTGTAGCATGCAACAACCCTCCACTAAAATGAGTGCAACACATACCACTAGTGCAGCTTACTCCATTTATACTGTAGAGCACAATCATCACTTCTTGATTTGGCACTCGTGTGTAAAGATGTCTTTTTTTTTTCACTTGTGAACTTTCAGATATTGGCATTTTTTGTGGAAGTATCTACAAAGATATAACCTGTTATGGATACATATGTATTGTTGGATTTTCATTTTCCAATATTTGTTTTTTTTTGCACCTGCAGATTTTGTGTCCTCCTCTATCCACATTAATATATCACAAGTGTAAGTAACTTCAACTTTGTCTTGTTGTGGGACAACAAGACGTTGTTCATGCTAGACTAACAACTAAAATAGTGTTGGATTTGTCTTTGTCTGTTGGGGAAGTGACAACTTTTGTGTGGTAGGAGGTGGAGTCTTTCATGCAGCTTGGACCTTCTTTTGAACCTGAAATACCTCTTCCTATATGTTCCATTTGTAATGGAAGGGCTTTTGCCAGTTTTTTCTAACCACCTACCTTTGCCTAATCTTATACTCATGCTGTTTTGAATCTACCTAAGCTTCTTTCATACTTTTGGGAAAGGGTTTCTCAGGTATGTTTTTTTTCTCTCCTCCTTTTTGTAATTCATTCCATACTTCTTATTTTTATGTTTTTTACTTCCTCTTCAGATATGCAAATCCATATTTGATTACTTTTACCTCAATTTTGGTGCATGCTTGCCTCATTCTCCTTCCTTTGTTACCTCATATTACTTTTCTTATCTTAGACTCCTAAATTCTGGAGTCTTTTCTTCAAGATTGAGGATCAGATTCTCTGTCCTTTGTTTGACTTTCTTAGGCTTAATTATTCCCACCTTTGTCTTACACTCTCTCCCCTTTTACGTTATTTTTCTTTCATTCAACTTTTTCCATGTTAATCCACCATTCCCCTGAGGGGTTCACAGCAGATACTCGCTCATTTATCTTTTCTATATTAGTGTGTTTATCTTCTTTGGCCTTCTCACGTGTTAGACTTTGTTGGGGTGAGATGCCCTTCTTATTCAAGTGCTTTTTCCCTCCCTTTTACCTCATATACCTTTATCTGGCTCCTTTTCTCTGCCCCTGTGAGTTTACTTGACTGCTTCTTCCTCTGTTGGGGCTGCATGCCAATGCTTTTCCTTATCCTAACTGGTTTTCCTTCTCTCCTCCCATGCTCCTTCTTTACTTCTTTCTGTCTCCCACCCTTCTGCTCCCTTTCCTTTCCCTGTCCCCATTTCCCATTCCTCTGTTCTCACCTCTCCTCCCTCTGCTCATAGACTTCAGTACTCTCAGTCTTGGCAGTGACTGTCCTACAGGCTCAGGGACAGTAGGGCTCATTTAGATCAGTTTACAGACTTTTGCTTTCCATTTGCAGTTGATTGTTGGGTACTGGAGGTTCTGTCAGACAGCAAATCCCCTTGTTTTTTTTCTTTCTTCCTCTACTCCACTGTCTCCAATTTCTGTTACTTTCCCTCTTCCAGGGGATCTTGTTTCTTGCCAATATCTGTCCTTGGCAGTGTTGGACTTAAGGGCTTCTCCAAGATTTTATTCCTGTCTTTACGTTGTTCCCAAGGAATTAGGGGATTGGCGTCTGGTCTTAGATATTTCAAGTCTGTCAGTTTCTTGACCTCTTTATTTACCATTGAGACTTCTCACCCTATGTAAGTGGAACATTTTCCATCGTTGGTCTCTGTGTTTTGGCTTCTCCCCTTCCAAACCTACATTTTCTCCACCTTTCCAGATTTTTCTCCTGGTGCTTTGACAACAACTGTAGTGGGCTGTAGTGTCCAATACCTTTAGTTTTTCTAATTTTCATCATGTCTTCTCCTCTCCTTTCTATCCTGTTTAGGATCGCTCAGTATCTGCATCCTCCCCAGCCTGCCATTATCCCATTATTGGAATCTGAATGTTGCTTTACCTCCATTTGAACCTTTAGTCTCTTTTTCTTTTTTCCCATAGGACTTATTTTTACTCCTTTTTTGCATGCAGATGTTGAAGGTCAGATGTGTATGCTCATGATATTTTCTGAATGCAGTATTATCATTCCTATGTTCTTCTTTATCCCAACTGAGCTTTTCTTCCTAAGAAGTCTGCGACCTTATTTACCTTTCGTCCATTGTTCATCTTTATTCTCAGTTTGATCCGTGTGGCATCTTTGTTCCTGCACTGCTCCTTTTCATAGTTCTCACACTTGGTTATTTATCCTATGGAACTCCTCTTCTACCCGGGATCTCCCTCCTATTACTCTTACTAGTTGGGTTCACCAACTCATCCATCTGGATTATACTCTGTTGGACAAGGATTCTCATCACATCTTCCTAGTTTCCTTTCTCCAAGTTGTCACCTCCCCCGCTCTCTTACTGCTCACTTCCATTGTCTGTTGGAGGAGATTGTGCATATGGACTAATCCTCACACTTTTATTGCACCTAACCTTCATCATCTGGACATTTCTTCTTTGTCTGGGTATTGTTTGCCTCCCATTGCAATTCTCCATACCCTTTACTGGCTCTGCATGGGTAAGTTCTTTTGTCTATATATCTTACTTTTACAGAGGTCAGTTTCTACTTCTCAGAATCCTTCTGAGTGGCAAACAGTGCCTGCCAGGTATACTTAACTTTAAATCTGCACCGTGCAACCATTAGCATCTGTAACACTCACTGATGAGATGGGGTGTTCCACAAGACCACTTAAAGTTTTCTCATGGTGTATTGTTTCATAAATAAGGTCTGTTTCAGACTATACAATCTCTTGGACTATCATGAGTAAAGCAGTGTTGGGATAGCTGCCCATCCCTCCGGTCCTAGGTGAATAAACCTGGACTGACCTGCTTTTAAAAAAATAAGGTTTCATCATTTCCCATTGCACTGTGTATCATTCCTCTTGGCTTCCCAATGCACTTTTTCCTCACCTCCTTTCTTTTAGTGGAGTACAGGAGTTCTTGCCATTCATGAGTTCCTAACTGTTTGGGTGGTGGACCATGGAGGGTTCTTCTTGAGTGTGACTACTTCCACTCAGTACAGAGTAGGGCAGTGGTGTTCTGTTGGCATCAATGGTATGTACTCTCCTCCTACCACAGAATGAATGAAAAATTCCCGATGCTGCCTGGTTTTGAATTGGACCAATTTACCAACTGCAGTTCACCCCTCTGGCTGGCTTTCCCCCATTCTACTGCCACCTGGATGTTGGTTTGCTGGTGGTCTGGTGTTGGATCAGTACAGTACCAGTCAGCATACATCCTCACACATATGGTTGGTAGGGATGGGATCCTCCTCCTACTATGGACTGGAGTTGACCCACCACATTTGCTTTCTTCCCCTTTTTACCTTTGCCAGGATTTTGGGTTTCTGGGTGGCCTGGTGTTGGTTGTGTACTGGATCTGCATACATGTGCCCTACCTAAGTTGCTGAAATGGAAATTGATTTTTCCTTCTGGTTCCTCGTATCAATGTGAAGACAGTTGGGACCCTCCTCATACTGCAGACTGGAAGACACATACCCAATGCTGTCTGATTTTGGACTGGAGTTGGTCTACCATGTATGGTCTGATGTCCCCTAGCCACTCTACACCATTAAGCACATTCATTTCTCGTATTGGACTTGCTTCCTTTCTGCTCTGCTAGGTGAAACATATTTTTACTGTAGGCAAAGAGTATACTCTGGTATAGATGAGGTGCAGTCTTCCACGGGTGTGCTCCTATATTTTCATGGTATAGAGTATAACACTCCATGAGTTCTCTTTGGTAACCTTCTGAAGGAGGCTCATCTAGGTAACTTTTGAACTGGATCCTCTACAGTTTTATTGTGTTATTCTAGGTTTTATGTAAGTTATTCTACTTAATTATTTATGCACTATTAATGTATTCAAGAATTACTAGCAGCATGCCATATCCATCTGTCTGTAAAAAGTAGGATTCTGTACATTTGCTTTTAATAGGCAGCATATCTGCATTTTGTTGTTGTTTTTTTATTCATTATCATACTTTGCAGAGATACTCATGATAGCAAGAAACAAGTAGGATTAAATGGTTGAAAAACCTTTAATAAAAAACTGAAACTCGTAAAATACTAATATTTGATGAAAAAATATATTCACCTTGTAAATGGTCATTTAATATAGATAAATATAAAATTGCACTTATTAATCATATAACTTAGGACATGGTATAATACTGATTTTATCTAACACAAATATAGTGAAAATCATGTTTTCAGTACCACCTAAAGTTTCTTTATGGCATCTCATTAGTCTACGTGGCCAGTTATTAATTATATACTGCAAAATATTTGAGATATTCATATAAGTAGCAGAATTTTCATACTATGATTCTATTTGTACTATTCTATTTATTTTTTCCGTACTAATTGAATGGGTTCATCTTGAATGTAAAAATGAATTAAAATTCTACATCAAGATTAAGAATAAAGAAGTCTTGTATACTTTTTAATTTACCTCAAAATATTCTATTAATATAAAAATGTCTTGATAGTCTTCACATAAAAATAAAATTAAGCAAATTTTTAAAGGTGCATTTCTGAGTGAGACAGTATTTTTAACACTTCATTAACATTGTTTATTATCTTTCTGAGAAAGATCTATGTTGTATTTCTACTGTTTTTACAGGTACACCAACAGATACAGTTTGGATGATAAAGCAATAAAGTGTTGTTATTCTTATAACAAGAGTTATCAGATTATTACATCAACCCAGTTTTGTGGATTTTATAAACTCTTCTCTCTAATCATTGACATATTATCTGGAGTCGACTGTAAAAAAAATAAATCATCCTTCATTATATACTCCTGCAAAGGACATTTGAGTAGTGAGTTGATGAGAAATTTTCAAACAAGTAAATTTCGTTCATATTAAATTATGATATATAATACAATGTTCTATAAAATACACAGTGTTTTCTTTTGTATTTTATATTTATTGTCTGATCTGCCATAAATTTTGTTATCTGTGAATTTTAAAAACTGATTTGTATAAGAGTTTGTGGTTTGTAAAATTTAAATTTAATTACTGTATAGATGTGTATATCATACATTTATAATTTTGAAATGCAATTTTTAGTGTAGTAATGCCATATATCATGATTTCATGTTCAGCAACCATTGAGCTTTTAGCTACTGTAGCAAACTGACAAATGTATAGAATTGTTTCTGATATATAAAGTTACATGTCCATAGAAACAAAAAGATTGTATAGTTACAACTCATATATAAGAAGTTGATAAAATAAATTAACTTTTGTGTCTTTTTGTTTTTTAGAAATGTTAAACTGTTTTCAAATATTTTGTGAGATGAGGATTGTGAGTGATCTTAAATTAGCACATTGATAATTTAAAAGAACTAAGCTAAAGCGATACTTTGAGAATTTTTATGCTGAGTAGATTAATCTAATAAAGATAGGGAAAAGTGAACAAGCTTCAAAGAATGATCGGATGTCACTACTCTGCTCTGTAGAGATGAGGCACTTGCTTGGTTATATTTGATTAAAAGGAATAAAATGTTTAATTATCAATAACAGTGTATTTAAGAAATAAAAGACAGTAACAGTGTATGACATTCTAAATATTAATTTTGAAAGTTTTATAAATGAGGAAATTGTGAGAATAGGTTATCTAAGCTTTAGGTTCTGAGATATTGGATGAGATTCACTAGCAATGGATTCGTGATGGGGAAACGAAGTCTAATAATGAAGATGAAGATGGTTGATAAAACACAAAACATTTTGAAATATGCTCATTCCATCTTCAGTGAAATCTGAAAATTGTGTTATGAAGATGATTATTAATTAAAACTATAATATAATAATCACTAGTTTATTTAGTTTTTAAGAGAAGTGGTAAATGGAAGGATAAAACAAAAAGTGAAGGATTATAGAAATATTGCACAACAGTTGGGTTGAAGTGTGAAAATGTAGAACAATTTTAGATCTAAAGAGCTGTGGGAGTTGTTAAGAGTTGGACAGTCTTTAGCTATGAGTAAGCTTTCTTTAATGTAGAGTTCAAGGTCTGAAAATCCTGTGGTAATGACAGAGAAATCGTTAAATGAAATATTGTGACCCGTGGTTTCAGAATGTGAACGAATGGATGAGTGTCTGGGTTTAAGTAGTGGAAGGTCGGTTCTGTTAGATACTCCTAAATATTCACAGACTCTAGTTTTTAAATGGCATTTCGTTTTACCAATGTACGTGACCTTAAAGTCACTACACGTACATTTAGAAACAAGCCATGAACGTAGAAGTTTAGGTACTTGATCTTTGTACTGAAATAAGTGTTTAATGCGGAGACTAGGTCTGTATATTATTCTAAGCTGAATTTGAGGGTAGAAGTTTTTTATTAGAGAGGAGAGTTTTTTTAATTTGTAGGAATTGTGAACCCATAAAAGGAAGGGAGATAATGAGGGGAAATTTGGGGATGGTGTGGACATTGGCTGGTGGTTGGAATTTGTTGTTTAAGAAATTGTGTAATCTTTTTTTTTTTTTTAGAAAATCAGCCATATAGCCGTTATTTAACATGTGTTTGTGTAGAAAGGTAATTTCTTCGTGTAAAGTAGAATAATTTGGACATAGATCAAAAATTCTGTTTAACAATGACATGACCAGATTACGTTTGAAGAAGTTGTGGATTGAACTATTAATATTAGTGTAAATGCCAGTAAAAAGTTCTTTTATGATAAACAGAGGTAGAAAAGTGTTTACCTACTTTGGTAATCCTGACATCTAAGAAAGGTAAAGAATCATTTTCCTTGAGTTTGAATGTGAACTTGATATTGTGGTATTGGGAATTAAGGTAAGAAAGGAACTCAGAAACGTGACTCGATTATTGAAACACCAAGAAAGTGTTATCAATATAGTGTTTGTAAAGGACAGGTTTGAATTCACATGGGCAGCATTCTAGCCACTTACATTTATGATAGCATAGAAAACTATTGGCTATCATTGAACACAGTGGGGATTTTATGGCGATTCCATCTACCTGGTCATAAAAGACCTCGTTAGAGAGGAAATGATTTAACTTTGTGGAGAGGACAAGAAGTTCCAATAATTGTTAATGGGTGAAACCAAGATACAACTCAGTGTCAGTAGGAAAGAGAAGGTTCACGATTAAATTTAAAGTTTCATTAAGAAGATATTCACTATTTTTTAGAATATAATGTTTTTATTTATACCAAATGTGAACCACTTTGACATTTCAATAATATTTAGTCATGAGAAAGTAATAAATAAATAAGTCCTTTTATCTTAAAATGGTTTTAAAATTTGTTACATTGTTAAATATTTGAGGGTAGATTTTTAGCAAACCATGAAAATATATCATTTTGTTATGATTTACTCTTAATATGTTTGGTAATTTAGAAAATGTGAAACTGGTCGTATAGTTTTATAATGTGTGAAGACATTAATACCAAACTTTAATAGGTTTCTTGATAGTTTTGAATATGACAAAATTGGTTTTATGTACTACTAATATTATTATAAATGCATTTCTTCATTGATTTAATTAAGAGAATGGAAAAACAGATGTACTATGTTAAGAACAGCATTGTAAGCATTTGTTGATAGATCCCCAATAGGGTATGTTTACTGCATTTAGTATATTTATTATAGGAAGTAGTTTGTATATCTTTACCTTAAATTGTAAAGTTGATATTTGCTTTGCTAAAGTAACTTGAACCTTTGGAGATCAGAGTGATGTAATGAACAGAATATTTTTAATCCTATATGGACACATTTCCAATAGCTAAAGGTCTTATAAAAAAAGGTTTCTTTATAAACATTTATTCTTAAACCAAAGGACATTAATGTTGCATCTGTGGTAAGTTGTTATGTATTAGCATTATTCAGTTCTGTTCTGTTGTATTTTTTTGGGCATTGAATATGAAAAATAACATTAAAATCTGTATATCCTGATATGATACTGAAAGCATTTCCTCTCCTAGGTATATAAATTTATCACTTCATGACTAAATAAATAATTGGCTTGGAAAACCTTCCAAATGATTGAACAAATAAGATGAAGTCATGTCATGCAGTATGATCTAAAGAAATAAACAATAACATTTTCATTTTGTTCTCTTCGTAAAGAGTATTTTCTACATGTGTGAGTTGTGTCTTGATTTCCATAATTAATTACATCGATTAATCAAATGCTGAAGTTAAGTATTAAATATAAATACTAGCTGATTTCTGTTTATAAATTTTCATTCTAATATTTTTGTCGAATGTTCTTTTGTTTGTTCTCCAAAATAACTAAATACTTATTATATCTTGTGCCTAAGTATTCAAATACTATATTATCCCATCAACAGTTAGACTGAAAAGATCTTGTGAGAACATCGTGAATCAATTACATTTGTTTTATGTTGAAACAGAACTGCGTACGGTACAAATTATCTTTTATTAACGTAGTCGTTTGTGATTGTTTTCATTTGCTGTCTTGAAACCTAGTAAGTTGGTTAATAACGCGATAGATGGCGCTACTTATAATACATAATTATATTTTATAAGTTACGAAGTGTTAATAGTATTGCGTTAGTTTTTCTTTATATAATATATATATAAACGTAGATATTTGAATTACTTATTAAATCTTAATTGACAATCAAGTGCATGATACAACAATCGCAATGGTCCAATACAAATATTAAAACTAGTGAAGGGTAATTGTATTAAATTTAAAAAATCACTATTTTTTTTGCTAGTTAAATTAAATCGAAAACTTGCGTCAGCTTTGTTTAAACTCCAACAATTTTTGTTTATTTTCTTTTACGATGATACTGTCGGTAATTGTGAGATTTTACTGACGAGTCTTAGCATTTAGGATGTTATACCAAGCCTGTAAAGTCTCGCTGGTATGCTTAAGAACAGTTTTAAATATATACTTAAATATTTTATATATTATGTTTGAATATAGTTTGTTATCCAATCAAGATCATTTAAATATTTTAACATAGGTTTAAAAATATAAATTGTCCACACCTTAAACAATAGATTTGAATAAATAGAATAGTGACAACTTTTCAAAATTAGAAAATCGGGAAAAATCTGTAAGATGATCGTCAGGTGGTTGAGAGTCATTGATTAAAGATCTTTGGTTATGATGAAACAAAATTTGAGCGTTTGTTCATTTTCTCTGTCCAGATCTGAGGGGTCAAGAATATTCTGACGTGGTTTCCTTCTATTGCGAGTACTTGCATAAAAGTCGAGGTCATACTAAAACTCAAAACGATTATTAAAAACATTATTCTAAATTTCATTTAACTAAAGGAATTTGAAAAATAGACGCATTTAGTATATTATTTATCAAGATCTAAGTCATTTTTTCGACACTTGTGAATTTGATTGTTTATTGCATTAGGGTACATCAAAGCAAGTTTATATGATGGAAATTAGAAAAAGAAATATTAAAAATTTCTGTAGAACATTAATAAAATAACTCGTATGTTAGTTTGATTCAATGTAGTTAGCTAAAGAGCATTAAAAATATTGTTAAGAAAACAATTTAGGGGTTCCTCACCAACAAATTCAAATTATCAAATGCTGATTATAAACTATCCCGAGAGATGGCGTAAGGTTCGTGTAAATAAAATATTATGTTGTAACCTTTAAACGCCAAAAGCTGACGAATCATTAAAAATCGACGGTCTTAAAGTTTGTGATAAAATACTTACAGGTTACCTGATTTTTATGACAACCTTTAGGTCTATTGTTATGTAGATTCATGTGGACGTGATGGCATTTTTTAAAAACGTATAGTTTAAACATAAATATGATGACCATTTGATTCAAACCTTTATTGTAATCATTTAAGCTCTTCGTGATATACATAAATTTACCATATTAACAATTAGTATTCCTTTAATTAAAAAGTGCATTAAAGTTTTTATTTGCCTTTAAATGGTCCTCCGGTAGGACACCAGTAAGTTTTCGGACTTACAACGCTAAATTCAGGGGTTCTATTCCTCTCGGTAGACACACCTGATAGTCCGATGTGGCTTTGGTATAAGTAAACACACGCTTTTATAGCAGTATATTATCCAGTACAGAAGTGATTAAGTCGCCAAAAGATTTACTGAGTAGTAGCATAATTTGATATTTCAAATATGAAGTCAGTCAAAAGCACCCGATGCCCCAACGAATTTATTTGTTCGATTCATAACAGGATGACTAATTTTTTTGAACGCACCCATAACTGAAAATTAGATGCGTTTTCAGTGGCATCGTGATGTGGACATTGGACCTTTCGATACGCAACCCTGTACGTTAATTGCTTGACCATTCCTGGCCTCATTAAGTAGTATAAAGTAAATCTGAGCTCAAGCTTATATGTTATTAGAACACATATAAGTATCGAAAAGATAAAACAACTTATTCGAGTTTAGGTATTTAAATGTTTCTTATAGTAGCAAGAACAACAACTTATTAATAATTGTTAATATTTGATTTGCATTTCGCACAAAGCTACACGAGGGCTATCTGCGCTAGCCATATCAGATAATATGGTTAGTTTACTGCTAATATGGTGAATTACATACATTTAACCCTTCAATTGCGGTTGATATCATATTATGCAAGCATTTCGCGCGCAACATTTTGAAAGGCCCGCCGCAAACATTCGCAAGTCTTTGCACATGGGGTGGTAGGCAGACTTACACAAGCCACAAATGAAGGGTTAAAGGAAAAGAAGTTATAGGTTACTGAAAGTGTAGCAAATCCAGACCGATCTACACTGCACGTGTGACCGCTCATTAGTATGGGAAACATGGTAATACAACATATAAAAATATTCACGACAGCCAAAAGTGCTGTGGAGGGAGATAACTCTTCACTTGTTAGGATTGTGAAAAAAAAAAACCATAACTGTTCTTTGTAACAAATTCATAGTGACTTCACTCATCAATGCGATCAAACACCTTCTGTGTTGTTTATGTAATGCGTTGTTCATTAGTGTAGAAACTTCGGAAGGGCAAAGACAAGCAAACCATATGTCATACTCAAGAGTTCTTAGTACTTTTTTTTGTCTTGACGTAAAACTTGTCAGTATTTAAAGAGTACGATAGATCTTGAAATTAATGGAGTGATGATAGTCATTTTAACCAGTTTGGAAGTAATGATCGAATATGGGTTTTAGAGGCAGGCAAGTAAATAATACGACCGTGACTATGCTTTTCCAACAAAGAAGAATTGTGCTGCTCAAGTTTGGTTCTGTTTTTGAAGTGTTTGCATATTTAATTGCCCCTAAATTAAAATGTTCCAAAAGGCATGGCAAAGTGTTTAGGACAGAAGTCCAACATGTTGTTCCAGCACGGTAATGCCTTCTGCCACAAAACTTGCAAGACCAGTACTTGGTTCCAAAGTAATATTATATCGTTTTGGAATTATCTGCTCAAAGTCTAGATCTTAATAGTATAGACTATAGTTGGGGCCATCTGGAGGAGTTAATTCAACTGGATAGGGCTCAGTCTTACAGTTTCACTAAGTGACAAACCGTTGAAATAAACACACTGAACTAGACTCATGTCAAAATCAGTTTGAGAGAATGTCCTTCAGAGTAGAGTCGTTATTCAGTCCAGAGGTGATGTCAATCCATATTAGAACGATGATCACTATGTCCCCTTTTCTACGAAAAAAATTATGTCTGCGTTTATTACTGTTAAACAATATTGTGTTTTATACTTTTAAAATATATATCATATTTTACACTGTCAGTACATAAATAATAACCTTTTAGAACACGTGATGTTTTATTCTTTTAAGATATCCTATATTTCGCATATCGAAAATATATACGCTTTTATAACGTATATACTTTTAGAAGATAATATTTATCACTTTTAAAACGTTATATTTTAAACTTTTAAAACATGTTACATTTCACACATTTAGTGTATATAATGTATTATAGTTTTAAAACACTACACGAACTATACCAATTATCTTTCCTAAATGCTAATTTGCTCCTGTACCATTAGAAATTAAACGACACCTATGCCAATGAGTGACGTAATCACCAATTACCAAGTGACGTGCGCCTTAATTAAAAGCTGTAATAAATCGTTCAAATCGCTTTTAACTAGCCAACGGGCGTTCAAATCGCTCTTAACTAGCCAACGGGCACCTTGTTAGTCCTGGTGCCAGCTGTTTGCAACCTAAATCGTCCAAAGATGTATTTGCAAGAAAACCGTGCAATTGAATTTCGAATGGGCTTGACTTGTGAAGGGTGGGGTGTATTTTTGGATCACTAACACAAAGAAATAGGCAGAATTGCTCCTTTAAATAAGGCTATCGACACCTAGACATAATGTGTAAGTGGAACTGGAAGTTTGAGTTTTTCCTCCCTTCCCTTAGGGGGGAAGATAAAGGTGTTACTACTCACGCACTACTTTTGTATTGTCAGAACAAAGTATATAGGTATGGAGTGTTAGAGATACTTCGTTTCGTTGTGTTCGTACTACAATAGTCTTGCACATAGCTATAATCATTACACAAACACATTTAAAATCGCTACGGGAAAGGTTTTAACTTGACCTGACAAATTACACACGCTCTATCAATTATAATATCTTCGTCAGTGTCCGCTACAACTTGCAATTATGTTTATGTCATAAGTACGTTATTTAAAAAAAGCATTATAACGAATTACCTGTATAAGCGTGTTTAATTTAGAAAGAAAATATAAATGTCCATTCACGCAACTCGCAGCTTTGGTAATTTATAATGCATACTACACGTGGAAATCTTAACACCCAAGCTTGTATATCAATAACGAATTATGCTTTTTTTCAACTTATTATTAATTCTACTTTTATTTTAAACCATTCATATGTTTAAGGAGAAATTAGAAATAAGTTTGGTTCAAGCCAAAGGTATTTAAGAGAAACGTTTTAGTACCCAGTCAGGGGATTGCATGAGTTACAGAGGGGTGTCATGGTTTCTCGTGTTCAAGTTATAATAAAACAAAATGAACTCTGATAAAAAGCTCGATCTGTTAGCTTCAAAAAAACACACTTTGTTGCCATAAGAACTCACCTTTTAATAATGTTCATGTTCAGGCAAGTACCGCACTTAACCATCTTAAAGCGGCAATTAAGCTGCG